GTAGTTCCTCTACTACTAGTGGTCCCAATTTTCAAAAAGGGTAGTAGAAGGGACATGGGGAATTACAGACCTGTTAGCCTTACGTCCATTGTAGGAAAAACAATGGAAAGGCTCATCATAGAGAGAGATTTAGTGATGCTAGATAGGGAAGGGAGGCTGACAGCCACACAACACGGCTTCCGCAAAAACAGGTCCTGCCAGACAAACCTTGTGGAATTCTATGACAAGGTTTCGAGATGGCTAGATGGAGGGGATGCAGTGGATGTGGTATACCTGGATTTCAGCAAGGCCTTTGACAAAGTGCCCCAAGATAACCTGGTGGAGAAACTGAGGAATTTTGGGATACACCAAAGCACTGTCCAGTGGATTAGGGCATGGTTGACTGACCGAAAGCAGAAGGTAACCATTAGTGGGGAATCATCGGGATGGCGGCCAGTGATAATCTTTTCATTAACAACATGGAAGAAGGGGTGAACAGTCTGCTGATCAAATTCGCAGACGACACTAAAACTGGAGCAGTGGCCACAACTGAGGAGCAGGTACTCCAGATCCAAAAGGATCTGGACAGACTATGGAAGTGGGCAGGAGACAACAGAATGGTGTTCAATGTGGATAAGTGCAAGGTCTTGCACTTGAGGCATAGGAATAGCTGTCATAAGTACAGGTTAGGTGAGAAGTGGCTGGAGAGCAGCACTTGTGAAAGGGACCTCGGAGTACTGGTTGACTGCAGGCTGAACATGAGCCAGCAGTGTGATGCGGTGGTCAAGAGGGCGAACGCCACCCTTGGTTGCATAGCCAGAAGTGTGGCTTCTAGATCAAGAGAGGTATTACTACCACTCTACACGACTCTGGTGCGCCCGCAACTGGAGTATTGTGTTCAGTTTTGGGCCCCTCATTACAGAAAGGATATAGCCAGGTTAGAGTCAGTGCAGCGTAGGGCCACAAGGTTGGTGGCCAGTTTGCAGGGGATGCCGTATGAGGCGAGACTGAGGGAACTGGGTCTCTTTAGCCTGGAGAAGAGGAGACTCAGAGGGGATCTGTTGGTGACATACAGGTATGTGAGGGGATGTCACATGGAGATGGGTAGAGACCTGTTCTCTCCTGCAGAGGAAGGCAGGACACGCTCCAGCAGAGCAAAGCTCAGGGAGCCAAGGTTCCATTTGGATGCCAGGAAGCACTTCCTGACAGTCAGGACCCCGAGGGTGTGGAATGGGCTTCCCCGGGAGGTGGTTGAGGCCCCATCGGTGTGGATGTTCAAGGATAGGCTGGACATTCCCATGGTGGGCATGTCGTGAGCAGAGCCGGCTGGTGCCGGAGGTCAGACTAGATGGCCCGGGAGACCCCTTCTGACTCGCTCTGTTTCTATGTTTCTCTATACTCCTCACTAGTCAGACCTCACCTGGAATACTGTGTCCAGTTCTGGGCACCAAGATTTAAGAAAGATGCAGGTAAATTAGAAAGGGTCCAGCAGAGGGCAACAAAAATGATACAGCGTTTGGAAAACTGTCCTTTGAGGAGAGACTGAGAGAACTGGGCATGTTCAGCCTTGAGAAGAGAAGACAAGATATCCCTCTATAGGTACCTCAAAGGCTGTCACAAAGAAGAAGGTCAAGATTTCTTCTTGCTGATGCCAGAGTGTAGGACACAGAATAATCAAGTCAAGTTGCAACAACCCAGATTCAGGCTGGACATCAGGAAAAGCTTCCTCACTGTCAGAGCAATACAACAGTGGAACCAGCTGCCTAGAGAGGTGGTGGGTTCTCCCACACTAGAGACATTCAAAAAGAAACTGGACAGCCATCTGAGTGGGATGGTGTAACTTGGTGTCCTGCAACAGCAGCGGTTGGACTCAATGGCCTTCATGGCCCCTTCCAACTCTTACTATTCTATGATTCTGTGATTCTATGAAATTGCAATCAGTACGTGCCTCAGAAACTGGAGTCCATGGAAGTTCAGAGAGGAGTTCATCAGAATCCTCTCTGACTGGATCACTGTTCCTCTCCCACCCCATTTGGGAATCACCCCCTCCATAGCCTGATTTTGAAACTGCTTCTCTCTGCAGTGAGTCAGGCTCCAAGGAGCACCATCTGCCCTTTTCCAGCACACAGCCTTTTCCTGGGATGCCTGGGGATGCTAGGAATTGCAGGCCAACTTGGAAGGCGAACATCGTGTTGGTGAAGGCTGAGATAAACCGCTCATTGAAGATTTTGTGTTACAGTTTGTCCTCCTGGTGTACCTGACCACTCATTTGTGCTATAAAATGGGCAGGGAGGGCTGGCAGGGAGCAGTCTTCTGACATCTCTCAAACATTACAAATCTGTTTCTTTTTCCTTTTATTTAAAAGGAAATGGTGACCCCCTGCTCTCATGCCGCTAACGCAGAAAGTATTCCTCAGCCAGTTCTCGGCAGGAGATGGGTGAGAGCATGCGCTTGCACTGGGGCATGGTCTCTGCCAGCCCGGAACCCTCCTGGTGTGTTGGACTACAACTCTCATTATCCACAACCATCGTGTTCTCGTCCAACACACCCAGAGGGTGCCTAAGCGAGCTGCCCACAGAGAAACCGCAAGCAGGACAGGGCCGCTGCAGCACCCTCCTGCCCATGCTCCCCAGCAACTGCTCTACACAGTCATGCTGCCTCTGCTACAATCATCATTAGACAACGGAGTTGTCTAATCCAGTCACAAAGCCACCCAAATTGGTGGCCGTCACCACATCTTCTGGTAGCAAATGCCATAGATTAACCGTGCACTGTGTGCAAAAGCGCTTTCTCTTAGCTGTGCTGAATCCCTCACCACTCTGCTTCATAGGATGACCCTGGACTGTAATGTTAGAAGGCATGGAGAAAGATGTATCTCTGCCCACCTTCTCCACTGCATGCATAATTTTGCAGCACCTTTGTGATACCTCCTCTTACCCACCTTCTTTCCTAAGCTAAACAATCCTACCTGTTGTCATCTTTTTCTAAGCTGAACGGTCCCAGCTGTTGAAGGGGAGCTGCTCAGATCCCTGATCATTTTAGTTGTCATTTTGGCACTTTTTCCAGCTCTTACAATATTATTTTTCAGGTGAGGTTACCAGAACTATACATCATATTCCAAGCAAGGCTGCATCAGAAGTTAGTATCAGATTATACCAGAGCTTGTATAAAGCTCAACAGTGCCCTCAACAAACAACAACTGCCAGGGTTCTTTTGGAGAAACCACGACAGCTAAATTCCTATTGAACTGATACAAGTTTGTGAGGCAGTAGATTGCCCAGTCCCAACCGTTCGCCTTTCCCATGTGCGCACTGTGTCACATTCAGCACCCAGCTGCATTTTGCTGAGTACAGCAAAGGAGGCTGCTGTCTGTCCTCTGGCCTGTGATCCTAGACTGTTGAAAGCAGGAAGTAGCGCTTTCCCTGACGCGGCTGTCTCAAGGAGCAATACCGCAAACAGAAGGAAGGTGCAGGAAGTCGGCCGTGAACAGAATGAATGGCTCATGCAGTGGAAGGAACCTGATGCTCCCCGAGCCATTGAGCAACAAGGCCCATCTGGCCTCAACCTCAGGATGCTGTGGGAGGCACAGGGACTGAGGAAGCCACCATGAATGATTACATTTAGCCAAGTGTGGCCCACCACAACTGGCTACGACACTCTAGGATCTATGACCACCTTCTTGAACTGGATGCCCTGCAGTTGTGTTGGGCAACAGCTCCCAGAATCCCCAGCCACATGCTGGCAGGAGAGTCTAGGGGCTGTAGTCCACTGCATGCGGGGGGCACTGGGTTGACGAAGGCTGGTCTGGGCACTGCGTGAGCAATGCCAGTCCGAGCACGGGGCAGATCTGCAGTGACCTGGATCCCATCCTGAGCCCCTTCCTGTGCCCAAGCCTGGGCCTAACATTAGGAGGGGTGGAAGGACCTGCCTCTGCTGACACCATGAAAGGACACCCAAAAGGTCAGTTACTTAATTTCTTCCAATATTTCCTCCATCATGGGGGCACCACCTGGGTTTTTCCCCCCGATGTTCAAATGTCTGGGGCCATATCAATCCATATTGAACATATGCAAATAATTATAATTTCATATATTCAGTTAATGACTGTGTTTTCTATAGGTCATAACATTCTTCAAGAATAATTAGGGTTGGATTCTCAACAAAGGCCTTTTTACACAACTTTGTTAGATGACAATCAGAATCAATAAGGAATATATTCCTTGCCCACTGGCCATACAGAATTAGGCCTCTTAGGTGTTGAGTGTGGGTTGCTGTTGAACTATGAGTAGTTGTTGAAATATAGGATATTGTATTGTCTGAACCCAGCTGAGATAACAAACTATGGTGAACAACCCACAGTTGACAGTCAAATGACAAACCGTGAGTTCTCTTCATGCTCTGTTCATGCTTAACAAGCCATGGCTTGTTAGATCAGTGAGGTTCAGGCAGCATGACAACCCACAGTTCAGGGACATTCCACATTCAGCCCATGCTCAACTCTTGAGCATGGGTCATCCTGTTTTCTGAATGCAGTCAGTGACTTCACCATGAAGTTCTGATTTGTTAGTGTGAAAGAGGCATTGTTCATCTCAAAGAGCAGCTGAGAGTCTCATAGTGCCCCTGATGCAACACTTTCCAACATAAGCAGTTTACAAATTCAGCTATGACGGAGCAAGTGTTAGGTAAGTTTTAAGCATCTCAAAGTTCTAGAAAACAACACGAGGGGAGAAGAAATAGTGAAAGTTGCATTAGTGGAACCTTAGCTGAAAGCAGACAGAAAGTTGGCTGCACAGAGAAAGCAGGACAGTGGGCAGGGATAATGGCTTACTGTCAAAATTTGGCAGCAAATCACAACAAACTACTGATGGGGAAAATTTAGCTTGTTCTCAAACTAAATGTGTCCCTTTTTGCACTCCATAGCTATTTATGGTTAGGGCTTTTTCCCCACTGCCACCCAATGTGCTACCGTGTCACGCCAGGGGTTAGGGGTGGGGGATGCTCATCCCTGGGTGCAACATTACCTGCTCTGCTGGGGATCGTGCCCTCTTTGCTCATGGCGTGGTGTGGTTCTTCACACCTCCGATAGATCCCACCGGGTGCCATTGCGGTCAGTCTCTGCAAGCCTGTGCTGTCAGCCGCCCTGATCCCCCGTAGATATAATGAAGCCTTCTTTCTTTTAGGAAAGGAAATGCGTGAATCAGGCAGCCTTCCTCTTTTTAGCAGAGAGACAGCCCTCTTCTCAGGGAAGCCACTTCCCCCTGAAGGTTCTTGGGAATCTTCTGGTGAGAATCTCCGCATCACAGTGCGCGGCTTTACAGGGCCTCCTCAGAGTGGAACTGCATGTTCAGCCCACTTTCCGTATCGTCTGGAGCATGAGAAAGTGCCCTGGTGTGTCAGAACATGCTGCTGATTTGGCACGCACAATCCATACCCAGATGTTGAAAATGGCAGCCCCTGGGCTGTCCTCTCTTGGTCCAAGGCGCTTCTGCAGCATCAGCCCATCACAGAGGCAGGATGGTGGGATACCAACCCCAGTGCAAGAGTCAGAGCCAGTGAGGTGCAATGGTTAAGGACGTGGAACTGCAACTCAGGTGACCTGGGTTCTAGTCTCCACTCAGCCGCATGGAGCCACCTGGGTCACTTTGGGCCAGTCACAGACTCTCAGCTCACCCTACCTCACAGGGTTGTTGTTGTGAGGATAAGATTGAGAGCAGGAGGAGGAACAGAATGATGTAAGGCACCTTGACTTCCTTGTAAGCAAAAAGGTGGGGTATAAATCTAATACATAAATAAATAACACTGTCCAAGTCATAGTCACCCCAAGCCCCTGCAATAACAGGAGAGGAAGTCACCCTGCATGCACTGAATGGAGGAACGGGGTTGTGCTGCTCAGCCATGCTGGTCACAAATATGCCCCCCCCCCCCCCGCGCCCCGTGCAAGTCAGAGGCACACGAGGCACACCTGGCCAAACGATTTGGAGGTCTTTGCAGGCCCCATGCATGTAAAGCTCCTCTGGGTATGGTACAGACCTCCCCTGCTCAGGGTCCCACATGACACAGAGGAGTCCTCTGCACGTATGTCCGTTAGGCCTCCCAGGCTGCTAGTCAGTGTTAAGATTTACTCAACAGAGGAAGATTAGAAGGCCTTTTTCTTTGCACAACCCCCTTTGTGATCCATTGAGCTGCTCATACCATTTCTAGAAAGGGACCTGCTTTAGCCTGTGGCAGCAAAACGAAACAAAAGGTCTTTTTTTTAAAGTAAGTTTTATTGTTATTTTTCTACTAACTAACAAAAATAAACTAAAAATCATCAATCAGCAAAAGCATCAGACCTACTGGGTCAGCCCCCTGTACCATTTTTTTATAGTAATCCATAAACATATTTAAGTCTCTGCATAGTCCCGTTTCTCTAGCCAATAATAAAAGGAATTCCAAGTTTGATAGAAGTCTGTATCCTCTTTCTCCTTCAGAGACAAAGTTAATCTGTCCATTTCAGCACAGTCCAAAATCTTTTTTAAAATCAGTTCATAGACAGGTGGTTCTTCACTCCTCCAATGTTGGGCAAATGCAGTCCTCGCCACAGTAGAATCAAATTGCATGTACATGTAGAATCAAATACATTGTTTGTTTACCAACATCATCAGGTACAATGACTAATAAGAAAACTTCAGGTTTAAATGTTAGAGGTTTTTGTAACATTTCCTCAAGCCATTTGTATATTTTAATCCAATACTTTTTTGCCTTTTCACAGGTCCACCACATATGATAAAAAGTACCCAGTTTGTGTTTACATTTCCAACATCCATTTGATATATTTGGAAACGACTTAGCTAACCTATTTGGCGACAAATACCATCTATAAAACATTTTATACAGGTTTTCCTTGTATGAAGTTGCTAATGTTACTTTAATATTTCTTTCCCACAGCTTTTGCCATTTCTGTAGTTCAATATTGTATCCAAAATTTTGTGCGCACATTATCATAGTTTCCTTAACTTGTTCATCTTCCATTCTCCTATCCAAAAGATAATTATGCAATCTTTTAATCATTTTCTCATCTGATTTTTAGATCACTTGGTCAAATGTTGTTAACTCCTTATAAAAACCCCACATTTTATAATCTTTAACATATCTCGATTGTATTTGAACCTTATGCCACCAAGAAATATTAATTCCCTGCTCTTGTAATTCTTGGTTCGGTTTCAATCCTCCATCATTATCCAGAATATCATCATATCTCACAATCATATCAAAATTCAATGCATTTGGATATACAAGAGCTTCCATAGGCGAAAGCCATCTTGGTAATTTAGTGTACCGTTTTGTCTTTAGCTTTTCCCACACCGGCATTAATGACTTTCTAATATAATGGTTTAAAAAGCAACCATGTGCCTTAACACTTCTCATACCACATATAAGCGTGCCGACCCATTTGCGAATCATGCCCTTCAAGATAGAGGATACCCTTATTTCTCAAGATTATTTTAGCCATGTTGACAAAAGCTTGATAATACAGCATCCAATCAGGAAGACCAAAACCCCCATTCCCTTTGGCCTCCTGAAGCATTTTAAATTTAATCCTTGGTTTCTTCTTTTTCCATACAAATCTCGAAATTTGGATGTTTGGATCATCAAATAATTTTTTATCAATTTTTATGGGAATTGTTTGGAATAAAAATAAGAACTTTGGTAATATATTCATTTTAACTATTGCTATTCTTCCCAACAAGGATAGTTGCAAATTAGCCCATTTTTCCAGGTCACTCTTAATTTCCTTAAATAGTTTCTCATAATTATCTTCTTTCAATGTAGTACATTTAGCTGTAAGGAAAATTCCCAAATATTTAACCTTTTTAACAATTTGAAGATCTACTTGTTCCATCAGAGTTTTTCTCTGCTCCCATGTGAGATTTTTCAATAACCATTTCATCTTTTCTCTATTTATTTTCATCCCAGTAACTTCACCATATTCTTCTATCTTTTGTAGAAGTTTAGACATTGTCACCAAGGGTTCCTCAGGGATAAAAACTAAGTCATATGCAAATGCTTGCAGTTTATAGCTTTCATCTCTAATTCTAGTGCCTTTAATAACCATATCTTCTCTAATATTTCTATTTAGCACTTCTAAAATCAATATAAATAACAATGATGATAAAGGACATCCTTGTCTTGTGCCCTTTTGAATATCTATAGTATTTGCAAGTTCTCCATTAATTATAATCCTGGCAGTCTGTTTTTGATAAATGCTTAGTATTGCATTAATACATTTTTCACCAAATTCCATTTGTGCTAGTTGCTGTTTCATGAATTGCCAGTTAACATTGTCAAAGGCCTTCTGTGCATCCAAAAACAATAGTGCCATTAGTTTTTCAGAGTGAACCTCATAATACTCTAAAAAATCCAAAATAATTCTCATGTTGTTCCTCATTTATCTTTTAGGTAAAAAGCCATTTTGATCTGGATGTATAAAGTCTGTTAAATACTTCTTCAGTCTTTCTGCCATTACAGAGGCAAACATTTTGCAATCCACATTTAAAAGTGATATAGGTCTATAATTCTGGGTCTGTGTCAAGTCCGTATCTTCTTTCGGTATTAAGGTAATATTTGCCTCGGTCCAAGTATTTGGTATTTTAGCATCTGACAATACCGCATTACATATATATTAGTCTCTTTTCTCTTTCCTTCTTTAGTTTGTAAGCAAACCATCTCCTCCAAAACAAAAGGTCTTGGAGCACCTTAAAGATTAACCATGAAGACTGACAATCTCATGAAAGCTTATGTTAAAACAAATGTTATATTATAGCATAAGCCTTGAAGGTGCAACAGGAATCTGCATTCTTCAAATTCTTGTGTTGGTGTTTTACTAGCTGTTTACACCTGTTTTATTTACTGCTGGATATGATGTTATATTTTATACTTTCCCAGTTGCATTTTTTACAAACTATGTTGTCCTTGTATATTCTTTTTATACACTGTGATGTTCTTTCAGTTATATGCTAAACCTTTGAAAGAACAAGATAAGGGCAGCATAAAACAGTGTAATGCAAAAACTGTAAACTAGTAACTTTTAGGGTTCTGTGCTGTGTCAAAAGCCATACAATGGAAAATACATTCTAGAATTAATTACTCGATGGGCAGAGAGAGCAACCTCATGGCATGGAGGCAGTATCGAGAGGGCCATGGAATTTTTCAGATTCCCAGATCAGAGGTCAGGCTGGCCTCAGATCTTGGAACCCTTCCCCACTGGCCCTGGTAATAACAGTGAGCTTGGAGAAGGGATCCTAAGGAGTTTTGGATATTGGGGAGCGAAGGAGACCAGTACTGCAAAGATGATGCCGCTCAGCAGTGTGCCAGCTTCCTTCCCTGTCCATCCAAAGTGCTGCAGTTAGACACCCGAAGCCATGCATTTAGCGGCTTTGCAGAGCAGGAGGAGCCTGGAGTGAAGACTGCCCCACATGCCTCCTGCCCTGCCCTGCAGAGGGTGACTTGGACCCCTGAGGCTACGGGGCAACCCCACTGGACTGTGCCCTAAAGCCTCAGTCCCGGGCACACACACGTGGCAAGAAGACCCATTCCATTCTGTGCAAGTCGGCAAGCATGGGATTACACAATCAAGCCTGTTTGCTTTCAGACACTGCCCTCTGCTCTGGACACACTGGCCGTCAAGATCTGATGTTGTGACTCAAGCTGTCCGGGGGATTTCTGAAGAAAGCGGTTGTGAAACCAAGAGCAGCAGCCTGTTCAAGGGTAATGGATGCACCTCTCCTGTGTTTCTCAAGGGAAGGCATTTCTGTTCCTCAGAATGAAACAGCTGATGCAATCACTCGCTTCCAGCACTTTCTTTGATCCCTGCCTCTAAGCGGGAAAAATGCACTGCTAGAACTCTGAGCGGTTGGCTACACACAACATGCAGATAAGCACCACGCTGCCCATCCCTAATTCTCAAGGAAGAAAACAGGTTCTAGGAGAAGGGAAGTAAGAGCAGAGACACAGCAAATGACAGCAATGCTTAATGCGCCTCTTGCGTGCAGCTTTCCCACCCGAGGCCAGCTTCCCTTTCTGTTTTCCAGGACTTTCAAATTCTGCTTCTATTGTTATCACTGCATTTATATCCTGCTTCTTTTCCTCTTGCAAGGAACCCAGGAGATTTACATGGATTCCT